TTATGAATGGAAGGATTTTGGTGAGTATTTTGTTCGTCGCAATCAGCCGACAATTCAGATATGTCGACCAGCTGTCCGGAAAAGCACCAGACGGCCGTTTCGCCCTATTGGGGCTCATCAGTGGTGCGCATCCTTCGGTCCTCTGCGGAGGATCGAACCCATGACTGCTAGTGGCTCTTGCCAACTAGCCCGCAGCTTATGCAACTGCGCCATGGAGGACGGTATCTAACTAGCGTGAATTGTTAGCTAAATGCGATATAGCCCGACGCATCCTCCACTGCCATGCAGGCACCTGCCATGCAGATGACAGCGGTCGGCCTTCCGGCGTCAGGACTTCCCGGTTACGGCAGCTATGAATCGACATAGCATTTTGTGGAATCCGTACGGGCGAATTGGTATTACTTATGAATGGAAGGATTTTGGTGAGTATTTTGTTCGTCGCAATCAGCCGACAATTCAGATATGTCGACCAGCTGTCCGGAAAAGCACCAGACGGCCGTTTCGCCCTATTGGGGCTCATCAGTGGTGCGCATCCTTCGGTCCTCTGCGGAGGATCGAACCCATGACTGCTAGTGGCTCTTGCCAACTAGCCCGCAGCTTATGCAACTGCGCCATGGAGGACGGTATCTAACTATCGTGAATTGTTAGCTAAATGCGATATAGCCCGACGCATCCTCCACTGCCATGCAGGCACCTGCCATGCAGATGACAGTGGGCGGCCTTCCGGCGTCAGGACTTCCCGGTTACGGCAGCTATGAATCGACATAGCATTTTGTGGAATCCGTACGGGCGAATTGGTATTACTTATGAATGGAAGGATTTTGGTGAGTAGTTTGTTCGTCGCAATCAGCCGACAATTCAGATATGTCGACCAGCTGTCCGGAAAAGCACCAGACGGCCGTTTCGCCCTATTGGGGCTCATCAGTGGTGCGCATCCTTCGGTCCTCTGCGGAGGATCGAACCCATGACTGCTAGTGGCTCTTGCCAACTAGCCCGCAGCTTATGCAACTGCGCCATGGAGGACGGTATCTAACTAGCGTGAATTGTTAGCTAAATGCGATATAGCCCGACGCATCCTCCACTGCCATGCAGGCACCTGCCATGCAGATGACAGTGGGCGGCCTTCCGGCGTCAGGACTTCCCGGTTACGGCAGCTATGAATCGACATAGCATTTTGTGGAATCCGTACGGGCGAATTGGTATTACTTATGAATGGAAGGATTTTGGTGAGTAGTTTGTTCGTCGCAATCAGCCGACAATTCAGATATGTCGACCAGCTGTCCGGAAAAGCACCAGACGGCCGTTTCGCCCTATTGGGGCTCATCAGTGGTGCGCATCCTTCGGTCCTCTGCGGAGGATCGAACCCATGACTGCTAGTGGCTCTTGCCAACTAGCCCGCAGCTTATGCAACTGCGCCATGGAGGACGGTATCTAACTATCGTGAATTGTTAGCTAAATGCGATATAGCCCGACGCATCCTCCACTGCCATGCAGGCACCTGCCATGCAGATGACAGTGGGCGGCCTTCCGGCGTCAGGACTTCCCGGTTACGGCAGCTATGAATCGACATAGCATTTTGTGGAATCCGTACGGGCGAATTGGTATTACTTATGAATGGAAGGATTTTGGTGAGTAGTTTGTTCGTCGCAATCAGCCGACAATTCAGATATGTCGACCAGCTGTCCGGAAAAGCACCAGACGGCCGTTTCGCCCTATTGGGGCTCATCAGTGGTGCGCATCCTTCGGTCCTCTGCGGAGGATCGAACCCATGACTGCTAGTGGCTCTTGCCAACTAGCCCGCAGCTTATGCAACTGCGCCATGGAGGACGGTATCTAACTATCGTGAATTGTTAGCTAAATGCGATATAGCCCGACGCATCCTCCACTGCCATGCAGGCACCTGCCATGCAGATGACAGCGGTCGGCCTTCCGGCGTCAGGACTTCCCGGTTACGGCAGCTATGAATCGACATAGCATTTTGTGGAATCCGTACGGGCGAATTGGTATTACTTATGAATGGAAGGATTTTGGTGAGTAGTTTGTTCGTCGCAATCAGCCGACAATTCAGATATGTCGACCAGCTGTCCGGAAAAGCACCAGACGGCCGTTTCGCCCTATTGGGGCTCATCAGTGGTGCGCACCCTTCGGTCCTCTGCGGAGGATCGAACCCATGACTGCTAGTGGCTCTTGCCAACTAGCCCGCAGCTTATGCAACTGCGCCATGGAGGACGGTATCTAACTATCGTGAATTGTTAGCTAAATGCGATATAGCCCGACGCATCCTCCACTGCCATGCAGGCACCTGCCATGCAGATGACAGTGGGCGGCCTTCCGGCGTCAGGACTTCCCGGTTACGGCAGCTATGAATCGACATAGCATTTTGTGGAATCCGTACGGGCGAATTGGTATTACTTCTGAATGGAAGGATTTTGGTGAGTAGTTTGTTCGTCGCAATCAGCCGACAATTCAGATATGTCGACCAGCTGTCCGGAAAAGAACCAGACGGCCGTTTCGCCCTATTGGGGCTCATCAGTGGCGCGCACCCTTTGGTCCTCTGCGGAGGATCGAACCCATGACTGCTAGTAGATCTTGCCAACTAGCCCGCAGCTTATGCAACTGCGCCATGGAGGACGGTATCTAACTATCGTGAATTGTTAGCTAAATGCGATATAGCCCGACGCATCCTCCACTGCCATGCAGGCACCTGCCA